ACTGCCACCACATTTGTAAATTAAGTTATTTTACATTTGTTTTTGCCATGCTGGTGCTATCTGTTAGCCAGCCATGTTTGCCCCGTCAGTCTGATTTCAAATTGTCAGACATGGATGCAATGTAAAATCATGCCAAATACTTATGCATGCTGTAAAACACCGCATGTGTATGAATGCTAGATTACCAGGACCATATCATGTGAGATAACCTTGACACATAGGGGTAGTTATTAATCATCTGTGCCAATATGTATCAAATCCTGTTTCGTATGACACTGTCACCATTTCTACCATATGCCCTTGTCTGAAATCAGAGAGGTCAAAAAGTCACTGTTAAAGTAATTTTAATCTTTGGAAACAACTGTGTTTATTTATTTTAAAAGATCTTAAATGACATCTTTGGTTGTAAAGAAAAAAAGTTGAAATAAATAAATGTTTTTGAACCCTGCGCATTTTTTGTATGAATGGTAAATAACACTAAAACATTTTATTTTTTTAATAATATATTTATTGGTTTTCAGTTAACATACAGACAGACATACAAACATACGACATAGAATACATCATATATCACACAGCAACACATCCAAATTGAAATAATTCTGCAATTTGAGTAGCTCACCCATCTTTGCTTACATCAGCTTGTTAGATTTATCGTTTTCGAACAGTTTGCATACATTTCCCCCCGTTAACTTATTACTAATAATATTTCATAATTAATTTCTGTTTTCTTTAAATAGGTGAGGTTTTTCCAAGGTTTGTCACTTTATACTTATTTTTACTTTCATTTTCTCCCCTTCCTTTTATAGACACTTAATATTTTAGTCATATTTAGTCACCTTTTGAAAATAAAGTTAATAACTAAAATATACTACATTAGTATTTAACAAACTTCAAAGGGAGGGTGTTCCCATTTTACACAAGAAGAGATTATTTCATTTATCAGCTTCCACATCTATCCAATATACTATAGTATCAAAATTTAACATTCAATGAAAGATATTTTTTTAAAAAAGGAAAATTTGCAAAAATCAAAATTATTTCATTTATCAGCAAACTATTCAATCAGCATCTTATTCTATCCACTGCATTATTATAACTTAACTTTTCTCTAAAGCATATAGTAGGAAAACTCAAACATTCTATCTTTTGAGTTCACTTTTTAGGTTTCCAGAAATTTCCTAGCTTCCAGTCTATTCTAGTATGTACATTATTATAACCTATGTTTCCCCTTAAACCTACAGTAAAAAAACAAAAGCTTCCAACCTCTGTCACGTAGCTTAATCCCCCCCCCTAGAAATCTGTATCCTCTTCTTTTTTGCAACCATTTCCACATGTCTGTACTCTCTGAATGTACTGAATTCTGTTCCTAAACTTTCCCTTCTATTTCCCCTCCAAAATGTTTTCACAAACTTATAAGCATTACTAATTTCCCACACAAAACATCTTTTTTCCCTTTTAGGCACTTTACACTTTTTCAATCCCTTTTTCCTCTTCTTTATCTTTTAGTAGTAAGGTATTGTTGTGCCTCTTTGGTTGGTCTTTTGGTTAATATCATTTTGCTTGTTAGCCACAAGTAAAGTCTGGCTCTTTACAAGTTTTTCTCTGTCTTCCTCAAAGTTCTGCTCTTTCTGAAGATCTTCCTCAAAACTTTGTCCCATAGACTCCAATTCTTTCTTGCTTTCATAATCCGAATGTTGACTCTGCTTTTTTCCAAAGAGGTTTTTCAGGGCTTCCTCAACCCCTTTCTGTATCCCTTCTAACAGTATTGCCTGAAACTGCTCCACTGTCAGCGTTCCAACTAGTATATCCTCATTAACGTCCTCTCCTTCAGTTTCCTCTGTAGCCGCCATACTCTCACTTGACTAAACATTTTATTTCGATCTCCTTTATCCTTACTCAAGTGTTCATTTCAAATATAAGGTTAAAATGTCACTCATATCACCATCATTCCTTGTAAATCCTCACCAACGGATTGTTCCCCCCCAAAAAAGCTTCCACCAATTGATTGTCCCGTTCTTTTTCCTAGCCGCTTTTACTCTGTTTTAGACTCTTATAAAGGGGGATAGTATTGCTAAAAGACATCTCCGTTCATTGTAATAGGAAATGTTCGTACTCACTGTATCCTTAATGTATTCCTGCACGAAATATTTAAATCTAAGTGTTTAAAAAGCAGCTGGTCGCTGCTAGTGGAAACATGGCAGCCATGTTTCCTCCGCTTCTCCGCTCCTGCTTCAAGGCACAACGCCCGCTCCCCCATGACTGCCGTCTGCAGGGGGGCTCAGAAAAGCCCCCTGCTACTCTCCCTCCCTCCGAGAGGTGAAGCAGGCTCCCCCGCTGCTGCAGGGGACCCCAAAAGAACGAAGAGGGAATGGACGGTTTGGGAGGGGCCTGATACACGTCCATTCACGACGCTTGAGTTCCGTCAAGTCACCTTCCCAGAGATATCTTCAGTTATACTTTTGGTACTAGTTTCATTTCTCAGTGAAACAAAAGTGTATTGTATAAATTTGTGTTTTGTCTTTTTCTCTTTACTTTGTAAATTTGTTTTTTTTTAATTATATAATTTAATTATATACACCAGTTTGGTGTAGTGGTTAAGTGCGCGGACTCTAATCTGGGAGAACCGGGTTTGATTCCCCACTCCTCCACTCACACCTGCTGATGTGACCTTGGGTCAGTCACAAGCTCTGGCACAGCTGTCCTTGAAAAAGAGCAGTTTGTGTCAGAGTTCTCTCAGCCCCACCCACCTCACAGGGTGCCTGTTGTGGGGAGGGGAAGGGAAAGGCGTTTGTAAGACGCTCTGAGACTCCAAGTGAAGGGCGGGGTATAAATCCAATCTCTTCTTCTTCTCTTCTTCTTCTCTTCTTCTTCTCTTCTTCTTCTTCTTCTTCTTCTCAGATCTGTTGTCTTACAAGACAAAAATAAAAGTCCCCTTATTTTAATCACTATCACTACCCCTTTCTCTATGTTGCTGTTAGTATTTTTCACGAAAAGAAAACTTGTTTGGGAACCAACTTGAATATACTTGCCACCAGGAAGAATCAATATTTTCCTCTGTGTGTTTCTCCATTTCCACTAGCAGGCCATCTTATGTTTATGATAGGAAATATAATTGTGAGAGTTTTTCAGAATGAAGGTTTCTTCGTAACAAGGAAGTAAATAACATTTTTATTAATTGTAGTGGATGTAGTCCAAATTTATTAGGATCAATAGCAGATTTGCCATTGGAAGCTGTATCTCCACTGGTTATTACTTTCAAATTGTGTCTCTGAACATGTTGCATACAGCTGGTGTAGTATGTATCTCATTGTGGCCACCATCCTTGGATAGGGATCCATTTTGGAGTTACATCATGAGAAACTCAATTCCTCAGTAATTTATTTTGCAAAGTCTGGGTAGACATGTCAGACCCATATGCTATAAAAATGAACTCCAATGCCTACTAGTGAAGACGTTTACTGGCAGGTAAGCATGTCTGCGTACCTTCTTGGAAAAGCACAATGAATTTGGTTGTTTCTCATTTTTTAAAAAAATGGTATCAGTGATTTCCTTGCTGTGTGTCCGCATTAGGCACAGAAACAAGAGACAATGGTTTGGAGTGTAATGCATAAGCCCTAATACTGACCTATTTATATGTACAATTGGTCTGGTAAGTAAATAGGTATTTTACATGAAGATTCTGCAGGCAGGACTGTTTCCTTACTTTAATTCTATTTTGCTGACTATCATAAATTGCTAATTAACTTAAATATAATGAAATCACAAATGTAAATTAAATTTTACAATCCATGGGAGAGAATGCCCTATTTGATGCCTATTTCCTTGAGATTACTGTTGTGTAGGATCCTATGCTTGCATAGGCAGAAGACACTTGCAGTTGTAGATCTTCCCTAACTTTCCCCTTCCCACAGCAACCCTACATGAACCCCCAAAAGAATTGCCTGGGCTCACAAGAGCTCTGTGGATTGCCCGGTAGGAGGCAAAATTGCCCCACTTCACTCTTGATCAATGGAAACGTTAGAAAAAGAAGCAACAGCTTTATCAGTGCAAGAGCAAGATGGGGGCAACTGCACCCAATTTTCCATCTTCACTGATCCTTCCCCTGCTCAAGGTGGCCCCACGAGCCCTGGCAATGTCTTTTCTAGGATTGTGGAGGACTGCTGTTGGAAGTGGGGGGGCGAGAGAGATTTTTTTACCATAATAGCCTTCTGCACATACAACCATAGGATCCAGCTCACTGAAACTAATCCACTTTATTCCCATGACAAAGTGTTTAGGATGAAGACACTGGGGGAGGGGGGGACACATCACTCTTAAAGCCATTCTTCCATCAGTTAACTTTTATTTTAACCATAGCAACACCATATAAATAACAAAGTAATCTGAGAAGAGAATGAAAAGAATTTTACCAAATCCAATTACAAGACAAATGTACAAGGAGGAAAAATGCAAAGTCCATCAAAATGACTCAGAACTGGATTTTCACACCTTTACAGTGTCTCTCTAAAGAAAAAAAGTAACTGCATATTTAACATTGTAGTCACACAAGAAACACACCTGGTATTACCAGTTCAGGTCAATGCAATTTAAAATTAATTAAGACTAAAGGAACCAAGTAGATAACAATCCACAGAGCAAGTGCAAAAACTGACTTCCATTTGTGAACAAAATAATCTTGTGGACAAATAGTGAAGGCTATATAGAGAAAGGTTATTCAGATATTAAAGGTAACAATAAAATAATGCTGTTGTCAACTTGCACATTGATGGCAAAAGTTCAGTAAATAATTTAAAAGCATTTGCTTTCTCAAGAGAAATCTAAACACATACAAAGGCCATAATCCAACAGAGGGTTACGTAAACCCGCTAAAATCAATAGACTTTAGCATGCTTAACTCTGTGTTTGATTGTAGCATTAATGTTGGCTGGAGAATCTGTATATCTAATTAGCTAACTTTGGTCTATTTATTATTAACATATTTCCTTGGAAGCTAGATTTCATTCAGTATCTTTTTCAGCTAAGCTGAAAAACCACCACCCATCATCATCATCATACGAAACTCTGTTAAGGTTATCAAATGTGTTGAAAACTAGCTTTAACAGTATGGCAAACATTCACTTTCATCAACTGTAGTTGCATAAAATAAGAAAATGCAAAGAAAAAAAGTTAACCCCCCCCCAAAAAAACCCCAATAGCTTGCTGCATTTAAGCCTGCATTACCCCTGAAACCTAGAGAGCCAGCGTGGTGTAGTGATTAAGAGTGATAGACTCTAATCTAGAGAACCGGGTTTGATTCCGCATTCCTTCACATGAAGCCAGCTGGGTGACCTTAGGTCAGTCACAGCTCCTTCGGAGCTCTCTCAGCCCAAAAAATAAGTCTAGTTCACCACCTAGTGGTGCATAATTCAAAAAGAGCTAGAACTTCAGGCTGCCAGACAATCTTTGGATCTCCTGGCTATACTACACACAATGCCATGCATTAATTAATTAATTAATTACCCCCAAACCAAAGGTGCCTTTTATACAAAAATATTATTATTATAACATTGATATCAAAGATAAATGGGCTTCATATCATTTACAAGGCATATTTACTTATGAAATATTTAAATAGACTGACTCTTCCCGTAGTGATATGGCAAATTTGGGGGAGGAGGAGCTCAACAGAATCCTTTATGGGGGATATTCTCCCACATAGAGCTTGCCCATGGTTTTGCTACTCTATTTGTAAGCTACATTATATACATATAGTAAAACGTAACTTACACAGTTTATCTTGGAAATAATGTACCAAAGTTGGGAATGATCCAACTGAAGTTCAGCACTGTCATCTCTTCTGTTCTCATGGGGAAACGTAAGCAGTGCTTAAACAAGGCAACTTTGAAAAGTGTAACTTTGGCTGAATTCTCCCAACCATTTCTAAAATATAATAAACTATAAATTCTAAGATAGAAATTCAAAGATAATTATAATTAAGCTTAAAGACAAAAATGGAAACTTGGTAAAAGGTTAAAATTCGATGTAGTGCATTGTTTCCTGCCTTCTATACATTTGTAGAATGCAGTCCCTAGTACTGAAAGCTAATTTGTTTGACTGCAAATAAACATCATTCATTCATTCAGTCCCTAGTAAATCATACACACAACTAAACATGTGCTGCTTGCCTTCCTTATAGACCTAAAGGTGATATAGCACCCTGAAGAGATTTGCAAAGTGTTATCAGTTAGCTAAGTTACAGTGGTGACAATCCCTTTTGGGGAGACAAAACTAAATAGTTCTAGACACAGTGTTCATTTAAGACATTTCGGAAGTCTCTCTAAGTAATTTTGAGACAGCAAGACTTCTGTTATGTTTAAAACAAAGAACATAAGAAGCACATCTCATTGTATTCTGCAGCTAAACCAGAATAGTTACAGTAGCTTCCTTAACATTTCCTGCTATCAAGAGCATTCTAGAGACAAGATCATGTAACTGTACAGAAAAATTGTACAAGGCTCCACACTAACTACCAAATTGTCATTAGTAAGTGTGGGTAAGGAATAAAGGAAGTATAGATGAGAAGCAGAACTTCAGGGAGTTTTGGCAAAATGTTTCATCCACTTTCATCAGTGGGCATAGAGTAAAAAATAAAACATCTCATGCAATTTCTGGAGACCCATCATCTATTTTTATGCCGACATCCACAGTGTTTACAAAGCAATGCGGTTTTTGTGGATTGCAACCATAAAATCTTAATGGACATAATTGTCTATTAGATTGTAATCATTGGCCATGATACAGAAAACCACAATTGGGAGGCAGAGAGAAGCTTCTGCATGCATAACATGTATTCTGTGTCACACAATAGTCTCAGGCAAGGGGAAATCCACACCAGTGGAATAATGCCTGCAGTCTACAGGGCCTCACTCATTAGACCTTGATCCAGAGATATGCTTGTGTCACGGCCACCATGAGTGAGAGGAGGAGAGGACCTTTGGACTGCGGCTTCCTCCCCCCATCATCACAGGTGTTCAGCATTGTCAGAGCAGATTGTCATGCTGATCACTGTCCATTTGTCAGTGTTTTTCTGCAATGCAGGGGCAGCATTAGAAATGTTTTATAATGGTAAGGTAACCACCACTTTCATAATTTCCAGTAGGGAAGCCTGCAAGCAGAAACTTCTGGAAATTCATGGATGTCATGGACTGGATTAGCTTGATGGTGTTGTTCATGCTGTTTTGGTTACTGAGTGTGTACACTCCATTCTATCTTAATAGTTTCAGGACAGAAACATCTCATATTGTGGTATTAGAATTTTTGCCATTTTTACTATTTACTGTGTTATATAAAATTCTTAAAAGGAAAAAAACCCTCATCAAAATAGAAATTACAAAAAGGAGACTTTTAACTTCAAATGACAAACGGAAGTACGCCTGTGTGGGTCTTTTTGCACACACAAGATAAAAAGGACAAACCTGAGTGTGTGTCTCAGATCACAGTATGGCCTTGGTTAAAATGCATATCTACAACATTTTTCTGAATTGTTGTATTCAGACGTAGGCTGCCTTCAATGCCATGAACAAACCTTTGTTTTATGACAGGCGTCAGTGCAGTTTGTTGCCCTGCCCACATCACTCCCTCATTCCTCTTACACATGGAGACCCATAGAAGCCTCCTGCTTTGGATTACTTTAATCGGACTCCAGTTGGCTGTGATGTCTAATTGCAGGTGTCTGGGCAAATTTTAATGTTTCTTCCCACAAAATGGGATTCTAGACCCCAGTTTGTGGGAGAGAAATAAACCCTAATTAACCTAACTGCTTGCATTAGGACACCACAGCAAACTGGAGTTTATTGAAAGTGAAAGAATTCACGCTGCCTTACCCTGTGTAAGGGAAGCGGGAGGTAGCATGCAACACCAGCAGCAAGCTGGGCTCATGAAAGACATCTGCATAGGGCCATAAGAAGAGAATGACTCGATGTCTTGAGAACGGCATAAAAATGCTAGAACATAATTATATGTAAAAACAACCTTCTTTAAAAAAAGGAAAGCATTAGACAACAAAAATAATTCAAATGTACATCTATCCACCTCCTATTAAAAGTTTCAAAATGGCAAAAATATTTGCAAGAAATATCATAAAAATATATGAGTGAACAAATATATCTCCCCAAAATATATAACATTTTCTGACAAATTCAAGTAAACGAACAATTATATAATATTGCCAGGTACCTTATTAAGGTTTGTTCAGCTAGCTAAAATCCAAAATATACACACAGCACCAAGTAATATATCACACCAAGTGACCTGTATAGTTTCCTAAATGGGACATTTATACAGAATCTAATTACTGTAACTTCCATGAAAATACAGCACCTTTAAAAACCTTATAGTAAAGTATAAAATAAATTCTAACTTAACAATACTGGGAACATTTTCAATTGGAACATTGGAATCACACTGGAGAAATTCAAATAAGACAAACTGGACAATTTAAGGGGGGGAAATACCCCTGCCAAGGATTACATAATATCTGACTACCACAACATCCTCCTATATTGAAAATACATAGAGACAGTGTCTTGGCTAGACTGGATCCAGTTACGCCATCAAAATATTGCTGTACTTCCTTAAAGCAGAGGTTCATATAAGCTCAATTAAGATAAAATTTCGTTTGCAGGGAATTTAGTACTTTCTGACAAGCCTTCCATGGTTCAAATGCCTTAATATTTATTTCCTACATATGTCTTGCTTTTGTTTTTTAAATATCTAAAAGCTTGGGGTATAGTTCATCCTGCCATCTGGCTTTTCTTACTTATGGTCCAGTCCTGAGTAGACTGCATGTGTTGCCTGTGGAACATAGCTAACAATCACACAGAGGAACTCTAACATCATTCTGAAAAGGAATGATCCCATCTGATTTCCCCCCCTCTTGTTGCCATCTAGGCAACTTCCATTTCTTGATGCAGTTTTGAATGATCAACATTTATGCCAGGAATAGCTATGAGTAAGACCATTGTTTCCTAGAGTGATTTTGATTTTAAAGAACTCTAGTCCTACATGGCAGAACTTTCCCCTTACTAATGCTCTATTTACAGCTAATACAATGTTCACTGTGTATTATTTTATCCTCAAGGGAAACAAAATATCAAGTTGCCCCAGCAAGTGCCAACTAAAGGGTTGTATACAGGTGCCACTATGAATTTTCCTGAGTTACGAAACTTACTGTTGCTATAATAATCACATTTCACTGATATTTGTGAGAGGGGCAAAGGCAGACACTGGGTGGGAGCATATCAGCTAGAGACACTGGAAATGGATCTTGCCTGCCTTCCCACAGCAGCCTAGGAAAAGTCACTGCTACACAGCAGTGAGCCAATGGACCCCCCCCCACACACAGTATGGAGGCTGTAACAGGGAGGTGGGATTATGGGCGAAATCCCTTTTCTCCTTGTGGAGCCTCTTATATCAGGGGATGCTCTGCCAGTAGAAGAAGGAGGAAGGATGATTCACATTATTTCTTCTCCTCAGTGAAGCCCCATGTACCATATGGTATTTTGTTCACAAGGGTTCCCTGATCATTGGAAATACTTTTTTTGCACTGCTATGGGAAGGTGAAGGTGAAGGCAAAGGAAGAAACATTTCGTGATCCATCCCTGCTGTTTATGAAGGTACTTGTTGGCCATTTTGTACTTATCAAGTTACATACTTCTCTTCAGTCAGGACCTATCCACACACAGTACCCTAAATATCAATAGTAACTTAGGGGGTTAAAATATGAAACCTGTAATCATACTTTTGTAAGTCTACAGGGCTAAGAGGTCAACAAGGACATTATGACACAAGAAAATAACATTTCTTAAAGAAAAGTAGTCTGAAATCTTAAACATATGGAATGCGCTTAAAGAAAAACTCTGAGAAAAAAATGGCTCCACTGAGATGCTCTTAAAAAAATTCTATACACAATGTATGTGGACAAAAAAATCCACCAAGTATTTTAAAGCTTAAATTTAAATTCGAAAGTAAGTGTAGGATTGGAGGGGATGGATGAGGAAGGGCTAAAATAGGAATCACAAAGTCTTTACAGAGAAGATTTTCATTTCCTGGCTGTCCGTGGTCGGGTCTGAGAAGCGTGATAATAGCAGTCTGCTGGGTTGCACCTTCCAGTTGGTCCAGGAGGGCCTTGTGAACCTGGTGCTCCTGGACTTCCTGGTGCGCCAGGCATGCCTGTGACTAAATAAAATAGTAAACAAAACAAAAATAATAACAAAAAACCCTGTAATTAAAATCTATCCGTGATATATTTAATTATTTAGTCAATTTATAATGTTGCCTTGCTTCCTCAATGAGATGCCTCAAATATCATAATTCAGTTAATCAGCAGCATCAGATATCACCATACTATTTTGAGTAGCAGTAAGTTTCTGTTGTAGGGCCGCAGTGGCTCAGAGGTTAAGACGCTGAGCTGCAGACCGGAAGGTCTGTAGTTCGGCAGTTCGAGACCCTAGTGCCACATGATGGAGTAAGCTCCCGTCTCTGGCCCTAGCTCCTGCCAACCTAGCAGTTCGAAAGCAAGAAATTGCAAGTAGATAAATAGGTACCACTTTGGTGGGAAGGTAACAGTGATCCGTGCACCTCAGCATTTAGTCATGCCGGCCACATGACCACGGAAACATCTTCAGACAGCACTGGCTCTTCGGCTTGGAACCGGAGATGAGTACCACCCCCTACAGTTGGATTCGACTAGCTTTTGAACAAGGGAAACCTTTACCTTTAAGCTTCTGTCAGCTTCAATCAAAGTCTATTGGGAATAAAAATGGCACCATTTCCTGGTGGAAAAATGGAACCATCTCCTGGGGGAGATAATTCCACAGTTTGGGGATAGGGCAACTGAAAACAGCCCTCCCACAATTCCCCAGCAGTAAAACCCCATATAATGCCATTTTCCGTAAGAAGTCCTCTCCTATTCCAAAATTTGGACCCCAATCATGTAGAACTTTATAGGTCAAACAGCATTTTTAATTGAATGCAGAAACTTAGCATTAAAATACTGAGTCTAGAATGTGTTTGCCCCCACAGTCGGAATAACGAGGCAGACAACAGTTTGGATCAAACAAGGGCCACTTTATTAACTATATACAGTTTATTAACAAAACCCGGCAAGGGAGCACTTCCTAGGTAGCGGAACAGACAAGGCAGGTGTCAGGCTGACCAACCTCCTTGTCTAATATGTGGGCGAGCCACCAACCCCAGTCTTGAGCCATTAATCTGGCTTGCGACCAGCAGCCCAGCCACTGGTAGCCTCCCAGGAGCTCCTACCCCTGAAACCCTACAGCTTGCAAAGAGGAGCTTATCCAAGAGGTTCCCAGAGGGAATCATCATTTACTGCCCAGGGCCTTAATAGCCCGCAGGCCGTTCCTGAAGACCCCAGTTCCCAAAACACGGGACGGCTTAAGGTGCTCACCATTTTCCGCTTCCTTATCCCTGCCCTATTCTGCCAAAGTGACCAACCTATTTAACAGCCACGCCCTAAACCCGTTGTTCCCCTGATCCAGTGTAAGGTAGGCGAAAACACTACCACCCCATTGCCAATCCTGGGTAATAGCGAAAAATTCCTACCTGGCCCCCTTGGGCGACCAGCCTCAGCCTACACTAGAAAAACAGGGCGGGAGGGCGGGCAAGCACGAGGCAGCAACTGGCCTTGGGCGGGAGCGGAGCCGAACCTAACCAGGCTGGCTCCTCCCACCCTTGTCCCAGTGCGCTGCGCTGGGACGCTGTTGCTGCCCCGCCTTCCTTGCAGTGGCAAACCAGCCCCCGGCTGCCATTGCCTTCGGCGGTGACTGGGAGCTCCCTTTCAAAAGTGAACAACTCACAGGTGATCACAATCCTAAGGACTTTTACTTTTTCTCTGGTTTATGTCATCTATGGTTTTATCAAAGTAAATATAAACTGTGGTGTTTTACCTGATGGGCCAGGTGGACCAGGTTCACCTAGCAACCCAATTCCAGGCTCTCCTCTTTCACCTTTCTGTCCTCTGTAGCCTAGAGAAGGTAAACAGATACAAAGAAAAGAAATAAGAGTGCCTGGTAATTTCAAGATTATGTTTTTCTAGCTACCTCCACAGAGTACAGCAATCAAAAATCTCATTCCCATTAAGGATGCCAGTCATTTGAATAGTATTTTATTTATCTTTAGCAGCTGATATTTTTTAATCAGAAGTGAACTGATCTTGAGACTAAAGTAATTTCAACTAGATCTACTACTTCCTGATTTATATTTACAATCATTAAGGTAGAAGAATTTTTTTTTTGGACAATGAAAGCATGCATTACAATAGCACATATATATTCACACCCTTAATGCTTATTTGCCTCCCTGATAAGTTTGATGGGGAATTGCCAAGGAATGACAACAGTCTGTGGGGTGGTCATGCAACACAGGAGATGAACAAACCATTACGGTTTGCAGTCTATGCATTTACAGCATTGTGGCATACCAAAGCAAAATATATATTTTAAATTTAAAAATAAAAAAAAATCTTTAATTTGCTATATGGGAGCCAGTGTCATGCTTTCTGTTCCAATGCCTCCTCAGTCCATGCATAACTAAAGGCTGATGTTGAAATTGCAACCCTTGTGTGGAAGCTGGGGGGGGGGGAGTGCCTGGCAGCTCTACATGGGGGGCTGTATCATGCCCTGATTACTAGCTAGATTTTCCATACTGTACGAAGAATTTCATGCTGTGCCTGGAGCTTGCATACGTGATGCAAGACAATCCAAGTGACACGGCACTACATAATTTGGGTGTGTGTGTGTGTCATGGACTGTACACTGAAATCCTACAAATGTTACTTTAATCTAAGCACATTAATTTCAGCAAAAAGCACTGTTAATGTTGTCCAAAGTGAAATCAATATTTTTAAAAAGAATAAAGAAGAAGAGTGAAGATTGTTGAATGCAAACATCTGGAAGAGCAAAATTGAAATAGGAACATCTCTTTCTGGTTGTTGCAATGAAATTAACACATTCATTCAAAATGGGAGTGTGTGGATGTTTGCTGAAATTCACAATTGTTATGTAAATATTCCAGTTCCATTAAGCATCATGCATTCCCTGGTAAGGATAAGGTTCTTAACTTCACGGTGGCACTTGAAAGAGGGCTAGAAGATACTTTAAAAGGGTACACGTTCTATTACAACAAGAAGAGGTCTGATACTACTCTGATCCCGAGGACCTTCATCGGGCGTTGCAAGCTGTGGCTGGTTGGCTCAGGCTGATTCGGTTGAAATTAAACCTGGAAAAGACGGAGGTCCTGGGCCTGAGTCGGACCGGTCTGGGGTTGGGGCTCCCGCTCCCGGCCTTCGACGGGGTGCCATTGCTGCCTTGGCGTGAGGCTAGGAGTTTGGGGGTGCTCCTGGACTCCTCATTGATGAGGGAGGCCCAGGTAGCAGACACTGCCAAGGCGGCCTTTTATCATCTGCGGCTGGCTCGGCAATTGGTCCCCTACCTTGACCGCGAAGACCTGGCAACTGTGATCCATGCGACGGTCACCTCGAGGCTTGACTACTGTAATGCTCTCTACTTAGGGCTGCCTCTGTTGCAAATCCGGAAGCTGCAGCTAGTGCAGAATGCTGTGGCCAGGTTGTTGTTGGGTCTCTCTAGGCGAGACCATATTCAGCCTGGGTTGCAAGCGCTGCACTGGCTGCCGATAGCATACCGGATTTGCTTCAAAGTGCTGGTTCTTACCTCTAAAGCCCTGAATGGCCTGGGTCCGGCCTACCTGAAGGACCACCTCTTCCCGTATGTTCCCTCAAGAGCACTCCGATCGGGGAATTGCCATCTCCTGGTAGCTCCAGGTCCCCGAGAGGTTAAGCTTGCCACTACTAGGGCCAGGGCATTTTTGGTGGCGGCTCCTACCTGGTGGAATGAGCTCCCGGAGGAGATCCAGGCCCCGCGGGACCTTGTGCAGTTCCGCAGGGCCTGTAAGACGGAGCTCTTCCACCAGGCGTTTGAGTAGGAGCCGCTGCCGCCACTATCCTACCAATGAGATAGTATGTCATCGACTGCCCTGCAAAGGTGGGACAGTTATGCCCAGGCTGAAGTTCGACAGCTTAGCGGGGAGACCGCGTACTGGAAATGGCTGGCCACCAAGTTGGAAGATCGTCCCACCTGATTGATGATGTAGCATTGTGTTTTAGGTCGCTTACTGTGGTTTAAATATTGTATTTTATTGTGTGTTTTATTGTATTTTAGATCCCGGCTTTGCCGCTGTGAACCGCCCTGAGCCTTTGGGGGGCGGTATAGAAATCTAATAAATAAATAAATAAAAATTTAGTTTACAGCACTCAGTACTGAGCTGACAGTACTGAACCATTTCTATTGCTTATACCAGACTACCTGTAGCACCTTCTTACACTGCTCCCTATGTTGGAACTAACTGGAAGTAAGCAGCTGAGAAAAATGTTAGTTTAGCAGGCACCATGTTGGTCTCCAGAAGCCAGCAGACACAGTAGAACGTGAGAATGATCAGAACGGCAATGGGTTATGGCAGCTTCAGAAAGGTAAGAAGTCTGAGATGTTCCTGACAAAGGAGAACACTTTGGTTGCATATATTCTAGCCTGTTCCCAGTGTCAGGCATGACATTCTTTTCTGGGGTTGCTGTACTTTGGCTGAGACAATTAGAAGAAGACAAATGTAGAAGACAAGCTCATAATAGTTTTTGCTAATATGATTCCAACTCTAATAGAGTCTGCTGGGGGGGGGGGGTTCAAATAATTTTGCTTTGTAGCGATTCTCCACACCATCTTAGGGTCAAACTTCAGGAAACTGAAAGCAAGGACGTAGCACTAGTTTTAACATCACTGAGATCTAACAACAGAAATGAATAAAAAAATACACATGGTCTTCCTATTAACAAACTGGCAGTAATGGAATAGTCATTTACTGCTGTCACTGTGGATCTTGAAGCGCAAAAGGACAGTTATTTGTTGATAACATCCCAACAATCTTGTTTGGAATGACTCTGTCATCAGAGCAGAGAAAAATAAAATGCAAATGCAGCTTAGTACAACGCACATGGTGGGAACATGCATGGCATGGCATGACAGAGCAGACTTACATTCAAAAAAGCAAGCAAGCAGGCAATGAGACTGGAAATAAATCCTTTGTAAAGTTTTTTAAAAAGCAGAAATCATTATCTCCATATGTTAGTTGTGAAAGGTGTGCCCTGTTAAGTAGAACTGTAAATTATTATTTATTGATCTTCAGTTACCATGATGCAGTCTTTGTATGACTGTCAGCCAGAAATGTTGTGCAATTTGTTTTAATTGCTTTTTGTAGCTGAGTTTGCACTCTGTAATCAGGACACCTATTACATTTCCCATCTGCTGCTTTACCTCTGATCTCCTTACAATAGGAACCATTTATCAAAACAAGCCATGTTAAGCTATACATTCACAAGAGGATCATCCGGCTAATCGCTTTTCTTTTGAATTTCTATCTGCATCACCCATAAAGAAGTGAAACAATATTCATAACAAATCACCTTTAGAATTCATATTCAGACCCATACATACAGAATGAACATCACAGACAAGAAGAGATCAATACAGACTGAGAAACTTGGTGCACATTATTGAATTCAAGTCATTAAAGAAATTTAATAGTACAACAGTCTATCTACACACATTTTATGGTTATGAATAGTGTAAACAACTTTTAGGTATATCTGAATAATACACAGATAAATATTTTGGACGCTGTTGAGTAACAATGCAGCAAACATGTAATATAAAACATTTCACCTATGGCTTTCTAGGCTTCTGTTTTATTTTACATAATTAAAACAGTAAGAAAAACATTTAAATGTTATATGCAAACACTATTCAAGAACAACTCAAAATAGATGTCCAGCAATAACATAATTTTACATGAGGTATATTTTACTAAGAAGTGCCATGATTAAACTTCTGGAGTTTAATTTCACAGTCTACCTGAACACATTTCAGGGAACCTCTTATATCAGAGGTGAAGGAGTTATAGCTATACAACCAGGCTGTTAGTCAATTAACTTTGTTTTGGTTCCTATATTGACTGGTTGAGATGGACTTTGGTTACACGCTTAGAAGGGCTTAAAAGGGTATTGAGTTCCTCTACATGGTGCTGACTGAAATGGCTAAAAGATTTCCCAAAGGTTCTTTAGCACCATGTAGAAGACACAGAACTTAATTCGTGGCCAATAAAGAATCCCCATATCTCTGTAACCTGTCTGTCACTGCCTCTTTCTGTGTCTGAAAGACAAACACCCTTTTTCTGTGCTATGTCACGATGTTTCTAACATTCTCTTACTGGTTGATAGAGAATAGATTGCCAATATGTTTTACTCATAACTGATACCATACCCCTCCTGTTGCCCTATAACATTTCAGGGAACCTCTTATATCAGAGGTGAAGGAGTTATAGCTATAGAACCAGGCTGTTAGTCAATTAACTTTGTTTTGTTCAGGTAAATGGAACAATGCATGGAGTCTGAGGGATTTGAAAAGGAGCCCAGCATAAACTGCCACACAGACACACGAGTTCTTGTATGAAATCAGACCCTGGCAGTGCGGTCCTAAGCAGAGACAAACCCCTCTTAGCTCACTGACTTCAGTGGACTCCAAAGGCTGTGACTGCTTAGAACTGCACTGCCAGAAACCCCAAGCCCTCCTCTACCACACATGAGCCCAGCTCCTCACACATACACCTTATTTGGTAACTCACATATCCACGACTTTAATGCTTCAAGCCATCTTAAGAACACTTGAAGAAAATACTCTTTTATCCTCTGAGTGTGTACATCTTTGAGACACATTTTCTACATGAAGCTAGTTCAGAACCACATCATTAATCTGTAAGCCAGCTATTCAGGTAACAAAATCCATAGAAAATGTCCCTAATGATCCAGGGTAATGATCCAGGGTTAATTGATATACAAACCTATCTTTTTCATAAAAAGAAGGGATATAGTAGTAACATTTGAACTCACTAAATAGGAAAGGTACAAGTAAAGCTGTCCCACTTCTCCCATTTGAGATGGTTACGTTTCTGTTATTTTCTAATCCCCAGAATCACACATTAAATCAGGGCCAGTGCACATAATACACGTGTGTGTGGGGGTGTGCTTTAAATGCAGGAAGGAATTTGAGAGCTTTGGCTCCCTATATGATTTCCCAGACCATGAGAAAGTGCCGAGTGCTACAACTTAACAGCGTGTACCCAACTATCCATGCACAGAAGTTTTCTGCACTCTTCTCTCAGGTCTCCGTTCCTTGGGTTACAGGATCCACACAGAGAAACAGCCATACAGGTCAATGAGGAGAGTCAAGGAGATGAAATCAGTCCCTTTCCTTAACAGAGCTCTGCTTGCAGAAAAGGAAAGGGAAGTCAGCTGCAGTCAGAGGAGCAGTTAATGGTAGGTTGATGGTTAGCTGGGAAGAAGATGGGGTTGCCAACTCGAGGTTGGTAAATTCTTGGGGATTTGAGGGGGTGGAGCCTGGAGAGGGTGAGGTTGGAGGAGGGGTTGGACCTCAGACAGGCACAATGCCATAGACTCTACCCTCCAAACCAGCCATTTCCTCATGGGTAACAATTGTTGCCAATCTCCAGGTGAGGGCTGGAGATCACTGAAAATTACAACTGCTCTTCAGGTAGCAGAGATCAGTTCCTCTGGAGAAAATGGTGGACTCTTTGTCATTATACCATGCTGAGGTCGCCACAGCAAATTGACACTGAGTGTACAAGGCCTTGGCACTCTCCCAGAGCCTCTTTCTAGAGCTCGTTGTATTTATTTCCACAACAGGCCTTATTCCTAGTATGTATATAAACATAGGGTGGCATTCAGCCAAAGTTAAGCATGTTTAGTTTTAGTGGTAGAGTTAGGCTCATGCATAACTCCCATAGACTAATTTTAATACTAATAGGAAAGATTAACTGTGTCTGGATCAAGTTCGTGCTTTCTTGAACAAGGAAAATAATCATGTGCATATATGTTCATCTGCTACTATGAATCTCTGAAGCTCTGCACTGTTCCTTTAACTATGACACAGAAATCTAACATAAGAACATAAGAGAAGCCAATGTTGGATCAGGCCAATGGCCCATCCAGTCCAACACTCTGTCACACAGTGGCCAAAAATACCAGGTGCCATCAGGAGGTCCATCAGTGGGGCGAGGACACTAGAAGCTCTCCCACTGTTTGCCAACCCCGAAACACCAAGAATACAGAGCATCGTTTGCCCCGGAGTTCCTATCTGTACCTTGTGGCTAATAGCCACTGATGGATCTCTGCTCAATTTGTTTATCTAATTCCCTCTTGAATCTGTCCATGGTTGTAGCTGCCACAGCCTCCTGTGGCAGTGAATTCTATGTGTTAATCACTCGTTGGGTGAAGAAGAGCACTCTGTTTCATTCTTCATATCTCTCATTTCATTATTTGCTGTGTACGAATGGATACAAGCAGATAGCAAAGAGAAGGGCTATAGGGGCTCCGTCAATGCACAATATATTGATTAGTATATTAGATTAATACATCATGAATTTCTTGAGTGCAGACACAAGGTCCAATTTCTAGGTTATACACTCGCATTAAATAAGTGGTTACAACTCCAGGGATGGTGGCAGGAATAGCTATGTTAGGCTGATACAGCAACAACTGGTGAAGAGCATCGTGGCACCTTAAAGATGTACAGCATTGTGGTATGCTCAGTGATAGGCCTGAGCCCCCTTCAAGAGATGTATGAAGCCTATGACAGGCTCTGGTTTTTGCTGCTGTACATTTATCAGAATTAAGAGGTGCTACAAATCTGTTTGTTATACTGATATGAGAACACTTTTATTCACCAAGCTCTGGACTCTGACAATACCTTTTAGAAGGAAATAGAAAACCTTATGCACCCCTCCATGGTTGAATAGATGGAAAAAACTCTGAATTACTGAAGAAAATTAAAGAATTGTCTTTTGTTCTGCATGTGAGGAAGAAAAATAAACGAATGGCATTTCCCCCCCCCGGGAAATGGGTCTTACAGCTTGTGCGTCTACAAAGAACCAAATCCCTCCCAATCCCACGGGACTTCAGTTGCAGCTTTAGTTTTTAATTGCTGACACACTTATCGTAAAGGTGCATATGCTTCTGACAATAGATTCCTTGCATGTTTTAAAATATACACTTTATGTGGAGAAAAACAAATGGGAATATACTGTATGAAGTGTAAGTGGGTGTATGTTTAGTTGACCTCGCCTGACTCTTGTTCTGTCATATTAAAACTGCAGTGATTTTGAAGGTACTTTATGTTCAGCCACACAGTACTACTCTCGTTGTGACTAAAGCACTAAAAGCAGCTCCCATGATCCCTCCCCCAAAAGCACACAGTCATCATTGTGGCATGTGGCAAACATGCTGCTGGGAAGTAATTCACATTATAGCTTGGTTTAAACGATCTACCACCATGTGCATCCTTATTAAACAATCTGGCAGAATCATTCAAGTCGACCATTTACAACAATTTAAATATTCAGATGCTGAGCAAGCCACTTAAACTTAAAAACTCTAGTCCCTTTTAATGCTCTCCTCGGTCCTTTATTCTGGTTCTTCTCATTCTGAGCTCATCACACTGTTCAACCTTCAGTGAAGGATTTGCTCTTATCAGTCTCTCTAGCCTTTATTCTTCTCCTCACAGCTTTGCGTTCCGCCCCTCTTCAAGTTGCTTTCTCGTTTCTTCATTCCAGTCTGACTTGCTCTGACTCCAGAGCAGACCAAACTAACAAAAGACAATAATTAAGAACTACCTATATACAGACATGGTTCATTATTTGCTACCCCAATAATCTTTTTTTACAATAATCTGTTTATAGCATGTACTCTAATTATTCTCTCCTATAAATCTAACATGACAATAAAATCTGGTCCCAGAGATATGTATAGTAAAACAAAGAGGATGACTGATTTATTGACAGCTGGATTTTTAAAAAAAATGGGGTGGGGGGAGTAAATCAATGCACTGTCTTATACAAATTAACATATAGCTGCCTTTGCAGTCATTACATTTCACTACTCATGTAAGAAAAATCACTACAAGCCTCTCCCCAATATGTGTGTTCACCATTTTGTCTAAAAGGGGCAACATATTTATTTTTAGCCTTGGTACATGTGTCACCCCTTCCAGACAAAATAGCTATTCCATATTTGGAGGATCATATGTAGTGCATTCTTTCCATATGTGTGGTGAAACGTAGTGATTGAAAGGCTAAGAGATGCTGCAAATCTAGTTAAAACGGAAGTGTGGATTTAGCTAGAGTCACAGTTCAGTCTCATCATTTGTTTGTTAGACAGTATTTCCACACACACACATCCCTTAGCAGATTGGAGACACAAGATCTCAGCCACAGAGGTCAAAAGCTGTAGGATAATTCCCTCATTACTACAATGTTGCTGAGCCTGACCACTGGGACTGAAGGCAAACCTAGAACTACAGCTGACTTAGGAAAGCTGTGTGTATCAGTAACCTAATGTTATCAGTTATTAGGATTATTATGTGCTGATTAGAAGTGTTTAATGTACAAAAACACACAACTACTAAGGGTTAATATAGTGGTCTAGTCTGAAAAACAGTAGTATTGATTTAAAAGTTAATTATTAGGAAGCTACATATGTAGTTCTACCCAATCTGACAGTGTTTGGAAACTTTAAAAATAAAATACATATAAAGGTGTATGTCTGGAAGTCCTACCTGGCGATCCAGGTTCTCCAGGTGGCCCAGGTAACCCATCTTTTCCTGGAAGGCCCGGTTTTCCATGAGCTTGGGAAGCTAACATGGCAGCTGGCAGGTTTAGCTGAGATACAAACTGAGCCATTCTCTCTGCAACAATGAAAGAATGTTTAAAAAAATGAAATGAAAAGTGACCACCATTGAACCTTATCTTACTGAACTAGTTGAAGTTTATATCTTTCAAATTATCCGTAGTCATTTAGTCATGTGGCAGTACAGTTTCCTAAACAACTTTAACTAATTGTAAAGTCTCTCCTGATCATTAAATAGCTTGATGATAGTGCAGTTACAACTGTTTAGCAACATTGATATTGCAATTATATAAGTAAGACTACAACTCAGTCAGAAGTTGTGTCCCCCAAGGGCAAAAGGGAGGAAAATTCTGAAGTCCCTCTCAAGAGTAAAGAATGAGAAATGACAAATTAAAAGCCAACCCTAAAGAGTTGCTGGGTATCATAAAATGCCTTAGTCATGCAGTAAGTCTAGCAATATTTCTCCTTTACCCTCATCCCATTAACACACACAATTGCATCTGAGTGCAGAAAGCATTAATTTGAAAAGAACCTACTGGGAAGAAGCTGTAATGTAAGAACATCTGGCAATCCAAAAGAAAAAGAAAACCAGGGGCTTGATCCAGTCCTGCATAGGCACAATCCCCCTCCTTGAACCTTTCAGGACATAAAGAACCCTGCCCCCCTCCCTGTATGAACAGGCACATGTGACCACTACAGAGAAGGGAAAATCTGCTTCCTTTGCTTCAATAAGGAAAGTGAACCCCAAGATTATATTAATTGTCTAAGTAGATGGGGAGAATGGGGCAAGAATAGAATGCACAGGGCCCCCATTCACCACATGCAATCACTGCACCTGCAACAGACTGGAACCCAAAGAATTTAAGAACTGCTGTTGGTATCTGATGTCACCAGTACATCTACTATGCACATCCCATCTGATTATAGCAGTGAACTCTCAATGTAACATGGATGACATTTTCTTTCTTTTTTTCCAAAACAGTTTTATTTTTAAGACAAAACAAACATAACAAACTTAACATAAAATGAGGGTATCCAAATCTTCTTAAAATTTCTTGTTTAAGAACTCGTATCTAAATATATGTTATTTTATATGATTCACCTTGTATCACTGTATAAAACTTGTTGCACATTATTAAAAGTATAGTGTTTATGTCCTTAAAGTACTTTATAAACCTGTATATCTTATTTATTGGATTCTTCCATCCATTTATAAAATCTTGACCATATTTCCTCAAAAGTTGTCTCTGGTTGTTCTTTCAGAGTTAAAGTTAATTTGTCCATCTCAGCAGTTTCCAAAATTTTCCTTGAAATTTCTTCCCTCGAGGGCACTTCTTTTCTTCTCCAATATTTAGCATATATTATTCTCATTGTTGTTATAACGTGTATTATAAGATAAGAATCATATATTTTTTACAATTTTCCAGTAGAATATTCAGTAAAAATATTTCTGGAACAAAAGGTATAGACGTTTTTAAAAAAATTTTGTAATATTTCATGAATCCAACACCAATATTTCTTCACTGTATCACATAACCACCACATGTGGTAAAAAGACCCAACATTATTTTGGCATTTCCAACATACATTTGAAACATTAGAATACATCTTTGCCAATTTATCTGGGGTGATATACCATCTATAAAACATTATGTAGATATTTTCTTTATATGCAATTGCTTTAGTGATCTTTGCATTTCCCCCCCACATTTGTGACCATTGGTTCATATCAACATTGTGACCCAAGTTTTGTGCCCATTTTACCATAGAGTTTTTAACTACTTCATCTTGGGTCTTAAAATCTAGCATTAATATATACAATTTCTTAATTAATTTCTCATCAGCAAATATCAATATTTTTTCATAAAGCCCTAGTGGACTGTCTTTAGCATATCTTGATTCAATTTGTACTCTTTGCCACCACATTAAGTTTTCTATTGGCTTTAAATGGTTTTTATTCTCTAATAAATCTTCATATCTTAACAATATATCTTCTTGAACTAGGTTAGGGTTTGTAAAGGCTTCCAATGGGGCAACCCATTTAGGCGTCCTAGTATAAAAGTTACTTTTAATTTCTTCCCAAACCTTCAATAGGGAAGCACTAATAAGTTGTTTAAAATATTTATGTGTAGTTGCCTTTTCATACCACACAAAGACGTGCCAACCTAAGAAAAGCTCATGACCGTCTAGCTTCAATAGTCTTGTGTATTTTCTAGTGTAATCCAATCTTTTAACCACATCAAAGACGCTGCTTTATAATAGAGGAGCCAATCTGAAAAAGCAAAACCTGTTCTTTCTTTAACATCTTGTAGTGCTTTAAGTTTTATTCTTGGTTTCTTGTTTTGCCAAACAAATTGTGTCATTTATCAAATTCTTTGACATATTTTTGATTTTGAAGAATAGGAATTGTTTGAAAAAGAAAAATCAATCTTGGTAGTATATTCATTTTAATAGTAGCAATTCTTCACATTAGAGATATTGGAAAGTTTTTCCATTTTTCCATATCTTTCTTGATTTCTTCTATAAGATCCATATAGTTGTTTCCCACCAAAGAGTGACATCTGTTTATTATATTTATTCCTAAATACTTCACCTTCTTTTGAATTTCCAGACCTGCTAATTCTTGTACTTGTTGAGCTTGCACTATGGTCATATTTTTAATAAGCATTTTTGCTTTGTTACTATTAATTTTTAAACCAGCTACCACACCATGGTCTTGTAAGGAGTCTAAAAATTGTTTAATAGAAATCAGTGGATTCTCTAAAATAAAAACCAGGTCATCAGCAAAGGCTTGAAGTTTGTATTCTTCTCTTATTTTAAGGCATTGGATTTGTGGGTTTCATTCAAGATTTCCAAAAACAAAAATTAACAGTAATGATGAAAGTGGACTGCCTTGTCTTGTTCCTTTTTGTATCTTGATATTTTGTGATAAATCCCTGTTAATAAGAACCTTTGCCTGTTGATTAATATAAATCGCTCTCACCATTGTATAAAATTAATTACCAGACTGTGCTTTTAAAAGTAATTCCAACATAAAGTTCCAACTGACATTGTCAAAAGCTTTTTCTGCATCCCAAAAAATTAAAGCCATTTGTTTTTCAGGATGGCCCCCAAAATATTCTATTACATTTAATATTGTTCTTACATTGTTTCTAAGTTGTCTTTTTGGAAGGAAGCCTGTTTGATCTTTATGAATTATTTGGGTCAAAACTCTTCATTCTTGCAGTCAAAATAGAAGCATAGATTTTATAATCCACATTTAATAATGAAATTGGCCTATAATTCTTGATTTCTTTCTCATCTGTATTTTGTTTATATATCAATGTTATCAAAGCTTCATTCCATGACTCTGGTATTTTTCCTTCGATTACTGTATTTTGAATAACAGCTTTTAATTGTAATATCACTAGGCCTTCAAATAAATGATAGAATTCTGCAGGTAATCCATCCGGGCCTGGAGTTTTCACCATTGTTTTGCTTTTTCAATGCTTCTGTCACTTCAGCAACAGTTATTGGATCATTTAAAAATTTCCTTTGATCTTCTGCAATTTTTTAACATTATGGTTTTCCAGATATTTTATAATTTGATCTTGTGTTGCTTCTCTTTTTTGGTATAGCTTCTCATAAAACAGTTCAATATTTTTTTTCAAGTTTTTTGGTGTATTTTTTTCTTCTACTTGATCTCTAAGTATTTTTATATATCTTTTTTCTTTCTCTTTCCATAGTTTGTAGGCTAACCATCTAGTTGGTTTATTTGCATTTTCAAAATAGTTTTGTTTTGCATACATAATTTTTTTTTGCTATTTCTTGTGTTAATAAACAGTTCATTTGATGCTGTAAAAGCTTTAATTTCACTTTTATCTGTTCAGTTGAAGGATCTTGTTTAATCTTTTCTTCTTGTTTTTTAATCTGTGCTTGAATTTGGGGAAAAATTTCTAGGTTTTGCTTTTTGACATGTGCTTTCTCTAATCATCCAGCCTCTGGCTAAGGCTTTAAATGCATCCCGTACAGTTCTAATGGAGATCTCTGGTTGGATATTTTGTTCAAAGAACATTTGAAATTCCTTTTTGGATTCCTTTACAAATTTTTCATTCTTCAAAATGAAGGTGTTCAAAGACCATCTATTCTTCATTGGAGTATCTTGTAGTATAAGCATCACCGGATTATGATCTGCAAAAGTTGCTGGTAAAATCTCCACTTCCAATACATTATTTATTATTGTTGTAGATGTTCAACACATATCTATTCTTGACCACAACATGTGTCTTGCAGAGTAGAAAGTGTAGCCCCTTTTTTTTGGATTTCTAACTTTCCATGCATCCACCAGGTTATATTCTTCTGCCAATTGTAAAAACGTAGAAGGAAGTTCATTTCCTTGTTTCTGTTTTCCAGTTATTATTTTTCTATCTGAAGTTCTGTCAAAGACAGCATTGTAATCTCCAATCATACAAATTTCATCAAACTTTTGTTTTGAAATCAGTTCTTGCAGAAGTTTATAGAATTTCTCCTGATGTTGGTTAGGTGCATATATACTTGCAACCAAGGTCAGTTTACCTTGTCTTTGTATTTGTACCAACAGAATACGGCTGTCTTCTGAAGCATAGATGAAGTACGGATGTAGGTGTTCTTTTACATAAGTCACAACTCCTCTTTACTTCTTTTCCTTATCTGAAGAAATAAAAACTTTCTCAGATTTCTTGATTTGCAGATATTTCTGATCTACATTTTTTATATGCATCTCTTTGAGGCAGATAATGTCCAATTGCATTTTTTTTCAGTTGTTGAAATATCTGCCTTCTTTTTTGCACTGCATTTAGTCCATTTGCATTTATTAAAATTATCTTTATTTTTCTTCTATCCACCTTGTGATTGTATCTGTGGTTCCGAGACTTCTTTAATCCTCATTTGCTGCCTGAACTATGGTGCTGGAGAAGACTCTTGAGAGTCCCTTGGACTGCAAGAAGAACAAATCAGTCAATCCTCAAAGAAATCAACCCTGACTGTTCCCTGGAAGGCCAGATAATGAAACTGAAGCTAAAATACTTTGGCCACCAAATGAGAAGGGAGCACTCACTGGAGAAGACCCTGATGCTGGGAAAGATTGAAGGTCAAAGAAGACGGGGACGGCAAAGGATGAGATGGTTAGACAGTGTCATCGATGCAATGAACATGAAGTTGAGCAAACTTCAGAGGATGGCGGAAGACCGGAAGGCCTGGAGGGAGCTGGTCCATGGGGTCGCAAAGAGTCGGACTCGACTGTGCGACTGAACAACAACAACAACAAAGTATTTGAGATGTTGTAATCTTTACTGCTTTTCTGGTTGATGTTGTTTTCTTAATTGCACCTGAAGTTGTTCTGGAAGCACCATGTATCTCCTGGTCTTCTTCTTCTGTAACCTCTGGATTGTCTTCTTCGGTTTTGAGGTCTCCTCCATGCATTTTGAGGAAGTCCTCCACTTTGAAAACTGATTTGATTCTGTATCTTATACCTTTGTAAGTGAAGAGTACACCTTCTGGAAGTAGCCATCTGTAGGGAATTTCATTTCTTCTCAAGGTAGCTGTAAGATCCATATACTCTTTCCTTTTTCTCTGACTCCATGGGATTTCTTTTAAGATCTTTACTTCTTCTTTTTAATACTTGCCCAAATGGGCAAAGTTTATTAGGGTTTTTTTTAAGGATTACACAAAACAAACAGAAAAGGGCTATACATTTTTAAAATATCTAGACATTGTCTCGTTCACAACATCTTTACATACATAGTTCCTTTCCCCTCCTTGATTAACTTTATATTCCACAACAAATATCATTAATCAAAATTCTATTCTCAATATATAGTTCATTTTTCTATATCCTATCTGCTATATTTCATTTTATCTATGCTACCCTATTATTAATCAGTTTTATAATCATAAAAATAGGAAGGGAAAGAAACAGGTGTTTCAACAGTTTAACAGTTCTAATTTGGGCACCTATTTCTTGTATAATAACAGTTTGGTCCCTTTAAGATATTCCTTCACCTTTTTAGCTTTCAAAATCCCATATACTTGCAAACTTAAGGATAGTATTTTATATTTTTCTTAGCTTTACAGTGCCAATATGCTTTCACCTTACTCTATGTAACTTCCTCTTTTCTCTCACAATGATAAATCATTACATCTTATCTAGGTGATCAGCCCATTACTATTATTTTTTTCTCTCTGCAAAGCCCACTCTAAAAATCAAACTGTCCTATAAGTTCCCCCCCCTCAACCTTCAGTTAGAGCATTACAGATATCCCAAACCTGTTGTTTCAAATAGACCAACCATTACTTATAACTTTCACTAATCATTTGGAACAATAAAATAGTCAGTATTTATAACTACAGATTATATTCTTAGTCAATCATTTTGCAAGTGTCAGTATAGGTTCAAGTAAAAAAAAAGAATAAAGATATAGTATGTAGACATGTATTTCTTATACAAAGGCCCTGGTCACACGGGAGGTTTTGGGCCGAAAGAGGGATGAATCGGGGGCACAGCAAGTGGGCACAAGCACACTGCAACATCTAGGAAGTGGTGCGCACCCATTTCCGATCCGGCCCTTCAGGCAGAAAATGCGCTGAAAAAACCCCCCAGCAAATAAGGAGGACTTACCTGAAATGGCGCAGCAAGCGCGGCCGTGGGATCGCGACACGCCTGTCTTCAGGAGCATTTGAGGCTCCCAGCCAAACTGCGCATGTGCACACATGCGCAGCCAGCTGCCTCGCGCTCCCTTCCGTGGCTTTCTCCACGGCATCTGATCGTGCCAGGGAGCAACTGCGCAGCAGCTCACGGGATCCGTCTGATCCCATCGCCCCAGTTTCTTTTGGTGCGGCTTTACAAAGCCGCACTTTGGCCGCATCAATTTCCCCCCGTGTGGCAGGGGCCAAATACTTATAAAATATTAGTTAGTATTATATGCCTTCGATCTTTGAAGGTCTCCTCCTCTTTAGTCTTGCTTATGGAATAACGCATGAAGTCCTGTCTCACCAACTCGGCCATTGCTGTCTTATATCCAGCCACTGTCAAAGTCTCTGAGGAATCTCCAAAGTTACAGCTGAATAAATCTCTCATTCTGAGTGTCAAGTGTTGAAACACTTCCAGCTGCTCCTCGCTTTGTAAAGTATATGACGTCATCTGTGCTTGGTCGTCTTGCACTTCAAAAAACATGATTTCTTCTCTTTCAAAGATTTCTTCCAGGGCTTGGCAGACAGAGTCCGTAATCTTTTTTTCCAATTGTAGCTTAAAGAGTTCCCAAAATTTCTCCCAGTCATCTAGTTGCTGTAATATGTTTCCAAAGGGATTTGTTGCTGTAATATGTTTTCCAAAGGCCATCACGCTCCTGAACAGGCAGCCTTCACTGCTGCTAGCTGGGAAAAGATTTCTACAGAGACTAATCTTAAGGGGCTGATTTGATTTATTGAAAGGAGGACAGGCTTGTAAAATGGCGACCGTGACTTTTCTACCTGCGTAGTTCACAGATTTGTGGAGGCTGCTTAAAATCACGTAAGAAGCATATTTAAGAGCCACTGGTATGTATCATAAATTACTTTTATTTTTTCACATAGTACCTTTTATCAGCCACTCAAAGAGGTGGTTAAAAAACTTAAAAATATCCCTACTGAAAATTAATGTGGTGAATTATCACCCTGTCTCTAATCTGCCCTTCTTAGACCAAGTGATTATTTAAGACCAATAGTAGACCAGGTCTTCTTGAATAACTCATCTGCTTTGGATGATTTTCAGTCTGATTTCAGGCCAGACTATGAGAGAGAGATGGCCCTGGTGGCTTTAGTTGATGACCTCCGAGTACACAAAGGCCATTCTTCTTTGTTGCTCCTAATGGATTTATCTGCAGCCTTTGATACAATAGACCATGCCATCCTGCTGAGGTGTATGGAAGCAGAAATAGGTGTCAGGGGATATGCCTTGGACTCGATTAAATTACAGGGGTTGGATTCAAAGGGTTGCCATTAGAGACCAGTTATCTTCAGTGTGGGAGATAGTCTCCTTGGGTTCCCAGTAAGGTAAGTAGACTTCTACAAGGAGACCCACATAAATACAAAGGGTTTTAAAAGGGGGATTATATATCATTATTATTTTTAAAGCAATTATTAACCCAGGTTGGGTGCTATCCAGTGTTTTGCACAGAGTGTCACATGTATGACTATCTGCCCACTGGACTTGGGTGTGTGCCCGGTGCAAGGAGCTCCTAGTTCTCAGGGAATGAGTTTGCTCCCTTGAGGCCAAGGTGGCAGACCTGGAGAAGCAGAGAGAATTAGGTGCATGGAGAAGACTCTTGGGGACTTGTTAGATATGTCCCACTCTGAATATGGCAGCCCCGTCGCTGTCAGGGAGCATGAGGGTCGAGAGGAAACAGGGCACCATGCTGCGGACAAGGGGAATGTGCCCTCAGAACGGACCTCTTCTTCAGCTGGTGAACGGGTATCCTTTCGCATCAAGGAAGCATCCCTTGGCAGGGAGGAAGGGGGGCTCTTGGTAGCTGGTGATTTGATCCTTAGGCAGGTAGACAGCTGGGTGGCGAACCTGCATACTGACCGTATGGTGATTTGTCTGCATGGTGCAAAGGTAGTGGACATTACACATGTAGTAGATAAACTGGTAGATAGCGCTGGGGAGAAGCCAGTGCTCATGGTACATGTTGGCACCAACAGTATGGGGAAATGCAGTCGTGAGATCCTGGTGGAAAAATTTAGGCTGCTAGGCAGGAAACTCAAGGTCAGGATCTCCAAGGTAGCCTTCTCAGAAGTGCTACCTGTTCCACGTGCAGGGCCGGACAGACAGGCACAGATCAGGAGTCTCAATGCGTTGATGAGATGATGGTGTAGGGGGGAAGGCTTCACGTTTATTAGGCACTGGTATGTTTTTTGAAACAAGAAGGAGCTGTACAAAAGAGACCGTCTCCACTTGTCCCGAGAAGGAACCAGGCTGCTGTCACTTAAAATCAAAAAGGTGGCAGAGCAGTTTTTAAACTGAATATGGGGGGGGGAGAAGTACATTTTGCTTTCCTCACCTTCAAAAACTCGAAGAACCTCCAGTCTGATATATTTTCTCATTTCTTCAAATGAAACGGAACCAGCCTGAGGAAGCAATTTTAAAAAATGGTAAATATAAGGGTAGGTGTTCTTAGCATCAAAATAATCAAAGCAAAGATGCCAAATTTTGTTTGGTAGTATGTATTATAAGAGCTTGGCATCTTATATTTCAATAGATCAATATGTATAAATAAAACACAGTACAAAGAAGAAAATTATAATGACAGTAAAGTGAGCATATTTAAATGGTTGTACTGCTTAAAGATATCCACCCCTGCCGGCTTCTTCAAGAGCCAGCTGCCTTACCGGTAAGCCTGGGACACCTGGATGGCCCTGAAGACCTGGTGATCCAGGGTTGCCCTTGTCCCCAGGTGGCCCCATCGGTCCTAGAGATCCTTTGTCTCCTGGTAAGCCAGGTTTCCCTCTTTCACCTTGTGGCCCCCTGTCTCCTGGTATGCCTTGATCCCCCTGTTCAAAAGAAAGAGAGGGTTTTTTTTGGTCATATCTGTTTGACTCTCAATTGTCTTTCATTTGTTGAAATCTGAGTCAAGGATGCTGAGAACTATTTCATTAAACTGCAGCACAATGACAAAGAGAAGATGCTGACAGGCTACAATCAAACAAATGTTATGCTCCTGTAGTCACACACTTGCTGTATTATTTGAGCTCTACAAAAAAGAAAATATATGACTACATGAGGCTAGAATGACTATGACAGCCAAGTGTTGGTTTTCCAGACCTGAACAGTCTCCTGAATCAGATGGAAAAAAACAATTCGCTTCTACAACTTTGCACCTACTGAAAATTCTTGCTATTTTCTGCAATGATGGTGCTAGAGGTCATGGAAAATTTTAAGAATACGGAAAAAATTACTTTAAGAACATCTAAATGGCAATAGCAACAATTACTTGAAAGGGGGTACATAGGTTAAGCATACAAAAAAGCTGCAAGACTCTCACAAAAAATACTATATAATTTGGATCTTTAAATTCTAGTGAGCCACAGAATGGTGGCATTACTTTTGTTCTTAACTGAGCAAACAGACACACATTATTCAAGCAGCAATACAATTGGGAGTAACAGCTGGATGAAAAAATATGGGTGGCAATCCTAACTTGTGCCATGTGATGAGGCAGATTTTACTATCTCCTTAAAAATGTGAAATCAGGGGAAGTGATGATGAAGTAGTGGTACAAAATGCACTTTAAAATACAGCTAGGTACTGCCAATAACTGGCTTCCCATGCATAAATAATATGATGAGTTGACATGTAGCTCCTATATGGTAAGTTTTCCAACTGAAGCCAAAGAAGAGAAAGAACAGGAAAACTGATGTGGATCCAGCCTTCTTCAAAGGAGCCTTCCTTTATTAGAAGAAGAGCCAGTTAAGTTGGTGGAAGGCTTCTTCGGCTGGAAGAAGGCTTCAAATGTACAGTGGAGTGGTAGGATACAATTAGGATTCACCCCACTGAAAGCAATTGCTAGTATAAATACTAGCATAGAGGACATGATAAACAATCATGGGTGTCAAGAAAGCACAGTAATGGCCCTGACCTGGATAGCCCAGGCAAGCCTGATCTCTTCAGCTCTCGGAAACTAAGCAGGGCCAGTCCTGGCTAGTATTTGGAAGGGAGACCTCCAAGGAATACCAGGGTCATGATGCAGAGGCAGGTGTTGGCAAGCCACCTCTGAATGTCCCTTGCCTTCAAGCCCCACTAGGGGCCACTAGAAGTCAGCTTGACTTGATGGCAACATTAAAAAAAGAAGAATGCAAAAGAATACTACTCGAGGAAGCTGTTCAGCCATGATTGTAAAGGATGGAGTTCTGTTCTATTTGTGGCAGGTATGTGAAATAATTTGTAAAGATTTAATTCCTCTAAAATAAATCAGTTTATCAGCAATTTAAACAGTAACAGTTTTCAGAACTTCAGGTTGGTAACCCTGTTGGTCTGAAGCAGCAAAACAAAGTTTGAGTCCAGTGGCACCTTTAAGACCAAAAAAGTTTCATTATGGGTATAAGCTTTTGTGTGCATGCACACTTCTTCAGGTGTGCGTGCACACAGAAGCTTATATCCAGAATTTAAAATTGTTGGTCTTAAAGGTGCCACTGGACTCAAACTTTGTTCAGTTTTCATAACTGTGCTGCTTGATTATTTTCTTGGGTTTTAAAGAACTGTATTTCTAATGAACGTTGAATGGTTAGTGTGTTAACCTGGTCTGAGAACCATAATTGACATGGGGTCCAAATAAAATTCTACAGTGAGAGTGGCAGTCAAGAATAGCAGTAGAGAATAGCAGTTAGTTCAGTTAAGGAGTCATTTAAGAAGAGTGAGAGGATTGAGGAGGATCCTGGAATAGTCCTTCTCTTAGGGAAATAACTCCCGGTAAAGGGGGGTAATTACTGTTAGAGAAGGGAAATTGGAACCTGTATGTGTGTTCCTGCCTTCACAAACTTTAGTAATTTTATTACAAAAAGACTTATGCCTATTTATCTATGACGTGAAAGACAAGTGATCTCTCTCCACAGTTTTAAAGACCTGTCTGTAGAATCAAACAGCTACTTAAACTATCTATTGTTTATAATTATACAAAGTTACCTCATTCCTTTGTGCCTGTTCACCTGCCAAGGTTAAACCTGATTCCTACCCAACCATTCCCCCATAGAAGTGAAATAAAGCAGTTTGTTTGTTTTGAATTAACATCAGCCTCTCATGTGCCATTATCAAACATATGCAAATGAAAGATTTTTCTCAGTTCCTCAATTCCCTAGGCTGGGTCAGCACATATCCATATACATTTAAAAAACTGGATGAGACAGACATGAAGGAGGAGGAGAACAAGAAAAGGGACTGCCTGGCAAAAGAAAAATGGAAATGGGAATCATTCTAGTATCTTTAAAATGACCGTAAAAGTTTACTGTTTGATCTGAACTAATGCCGTGAACATACATTTGATCTTTCAGGGAGCAAAGAGATGCCTCTGAAGGCCACAGACTTTTATTGCCTCACTGTTTATATTAATCTAAAAATTGTGCATAGAAATAAAAAATCAGAAAAAATAAGCACACTAGAGGAAAAGAAAACAGAAAAGTATTTATTTCAGGCAAAAGTTGAAGGCTTTTTTGTTAAATAATTTGACCACTAAATCAGTTTGATTTCCAGTGGCTTAACTTTTGATAATAACTATAATTAAGACTTCATTCTAAAACCCTAATAACTTGTGATATAGCAGTGGACTAATTGAATTCACAATGAATTCCTGACAAGATAGCCATTATTGTCTGTTTGCAGTCACCAAAGCTATAACCTCTGCAAATGAAAAGCTATAACCTCTGCAAAGTAACTCACTTCAAATTAAATTTTTTATTAATTTCAAACTCTTACAAATTAATTACAAGTTATTCTGCAATAGGAAATGAATTTAACATTCTTTAATAATATTCTTCTACAAGTTGCCAATTCTATTCTGCTTCTACTTCATTTTAAAATTATAATAATTCATTAAGTCCGATAGAAATTTGTACGCCTAAGTAAATATTTCTGCCTCTCAAAATTACTCCAGTACAAATGCAATTATAAACTCTATCACCCATAATTTCCCTTTGGATCTCCTTATGTTCATAACCATATATTCAAAGTGTCCTCAAGCTTCAGACCTCTGTTCTTCCTGGCAATTTCCAAGAGGTTCTGCTTAGTTTTTGTGTCCTTAAGATCTGCCATGATATCAGGTATCAGTGCTGGCGAGCCCATTTGGGGAGGGTTTACATGGAAAGCATTGTTTACCACTGGCCCCAGAAGCTGTATAATTCCTTCTAACCACTCATTTAAAGCGACAGTAAGGTCCTTGTTTAAATCAAAGTTCAAAGAAATTCCACGGAATTTTACTTTAGTTTCCCGTGATTTAATTTCTAACAGCATTAGCTTGCTTTTTGCCCATCCTTCAAAAGTTTCTTTAGAGTTCTTTTGCATGCCAGCAGCTGCTGTCTCCACCTTCTCTTGTGCCTCCTGCAGCTTTTTGTTGACTTCATCCCATTTATTCATAATAGGAATAAATATTATTCTTGTTTTAAATCTGTAAGCATCTCCTGTAAATGCTTTTCGGTTAAAGAGTCTTCCATTTTCTTTCTGCTTACACGCGCTTCTGCTTCCTCCATTTCCAACGGGGGGGGGGGAGAGTCTTCATCTGAAGAGTTTTGGCTTTCTTGCATTGCTCTAGGTATCGGTTTGGAGGAATTCTTACCACCTTTTGCTCCCCCATTCCTCCCCATTGTTTTGGTAAAGCTGTAATATTTAAATTGCAGCCCGTTCTTTACAATTTTAATTCTTTTGTAGGAGTGTGACGTGGGGGCTATGTTGGGTGCAACTGCGCAGCTCCACTGTCGCTCCACCCCCCAACTAACTCTCTTCAAGTACACCAACTAGCTCTTCCAAATTACTAAAAAAATATTAGCATTCAGGGAAGCAACAGGGGCCCATCTGAACGTCCAGCGAAGGAGCATCCACCACCTCCGGAGGCAGACTGTTACACTGCTCAACCACTCTTACAGTTAGGAAGTTTCTCCTGATTTTTAGCCGGTAACGACTCCCTTGTAATTTCCACCCATTAGACCTAGTCTTGCAATCCAGAGCAAGAGAGAATAGATCTGCTCCAACTTCTACATGACAGCTCTTCAAATACTTGAAGACTGCAATCATGTCCCCTCTAAGCCTTCTCTTTCCCAGGCTAAACATACCCAACTCTTTCAGCCTTTCCTCATAAGACTTGGATTCCAACCCTCTCACCATCCTGGTTGCCCTCTTCTGGACACACTCAAACTTGTCAACATCCTGCCTAAAATGTGGTGCCCCAAACTGGACACAGTACTCCAGGTGAGGCCTGACCATAGTAGAATAGAGCGGAACTACCACCTCCCTTGATCTGGATACAATGCTTCTGTTAATGCATCCTAAGATTGCATTAGCTTTCTTCACAGCCACATCGCACTGCAAGCTCATGCTATCACTTTCACATGTGCTGCTGTTAAGCCAAGTCCCTCCCATTCTAGATCTGTGCCTTTGATTTTTTGTACCTAAGTGTAGGACTTTGCACTTATCTCTATTGAAATTCATTTTATTTGTCTCAGCCCACTGTTCCAGCCTATCTAGATCATTTTGAATCCTGACTCTGTCTTCTTCAGAATTAGCAATCCTACCTAACTTAGTGCCACCTGCAAATTTGATAAGCATCCCCTCTATGTCTTCCTCCAGGTCATTTATAAAAAACATTGAACACCACCAGGCCTAGGACTGAGCCCTGCGGCACTCCACTTGAGACTTCCCTCCATGTAGACGCAGAGCCATGTATGACCACTCATTGGGTATGATTTTTAAACCAACCATGAATCCATCCAACAGTTGCACCATCCAGCCCACATTTAACCAGCTTATCCTCAAGGATATCATGAGAAACATTGTCAAATGCTTTACTGCA